CTTATCACTGATGTGATCGATCCTTCCATTCACATGGGAGACATTTCTTCCCCTGTGAGAAGGATCCAGACAGCTCTTCAGATCACTCCAGTTTGTCCCCCTTTTAATTATTGATTTTAATTAAGATGGCTCCCATCTATTTTTGAGGCCTTCATTTTTTGGGCTGCAGTGACTTTTGGGCTGCAGTGACTTTCCTTTCCTTTTTTTTTTTTTTTGCTAAATAAAGTGATATAGTGCTACAGTAGTACATCAATATAGTATGGTATACATATTATACATATTGTACTGAAAGTCACCTCCAGTGGACTAGAATTGTGCTATGTCAGGGAAATATTTTTTAAAAAATAAGACAAAAATAGAGGAGGTTTCTCCATCCAGCCTTTTAATGTCTCAATCCACTGAATATATCACAGGGTTGTCACCTCAGATAACACTGCCCACAGATCTGTCTGGGTGTGAATTATCCAATTGCCCAGACAACAAAATAGAATACAGTGGTGCCCCGCTAGACAATGACCTCACAAAACAACGAATTCGCATGACGATGACTTTTTGCAATCGCTATAGCGCTTTGCAAAACAGTCTTTCCTATGGGCAATTTTTGCTGGACGATGTTTTGGTCCGTGCTTTGCAAGACTTTTTTTTTCTGGGACCAATGCTTCGCAAGACAGCAGATAGGGAAAATTGCAGTGCAACTTGCAAAACGGGTGTTTTTGGGACCGATGCTTCGCAAGACAGCGATTCTAACAGCTGATCAGCGCTTCGCAAAATGGCTTCCCTATGGGCGATTTTCACAAAATGACGACTATTTTCCCCATTGGAACGCATTAAACGGATTCCAATGCATTCCAATGGGGAAATGCTTTTCGCAAGACGATGTTTTCACAAGACAGCGATTTCAATAGAACGGATTAACATTGTCTTGCGGGGCACCACTGTTTAGTAGAGTGCTCCCAGTTGCATCAAATAAACTGTAGCCCTAGCACTCTGCCAGAAAGGAGTTCACAAAACAGCTCACAAAAGGGGCACAATGGATCACTCTCCTTGAAGACACATGTAATTGCTGGAAAATAGGGCGAAACAGACAACAAACTAAATAACAAGTTATATGCCTGTCTGATTGCTCTCTCTGTGGCAGCAGAAACAATTAAATAAGCAGTGACCTAGCAGTTACTGCTGTCCTAGTGCACAGGCACAAAGTTATGTACCGGAGTAGAGAAAAAAAGCATCAGTTAGTTGGCATTTCCCCCACCATTCATATTTGGCTTTTTTAAATTTTGCTTTTAAAATCAGTTGTGAAATTATGTCTAGCTTCAAGCAATATTGACTGACTTTGTTAGCCTCAAGGACCAAACTAGACATGATATAAGGAATCAATGCTTAAAATCTCATAGTATGTTTGCTAAACATTTTTAGATGAGTGGGCAGTGGTTGAAAGACTAGCAGCACACTGCTTTGACAGTCTTTCCCATCATGGTGCCCTTGAGATACCTTGTGGTATAAATCATTACATTCATTCTTACCCAGTGTGGGACATGGAAACTCAAGCATAAGATATCTTGAAATCACCAAGCTGGGGAATGTCGCTCTGGGTCCTTTTCTGTATTAATACAGCCTGATAGCAGCTTTGAAGGGGAGGGAGAGGTATTAAATATTCCCCACAACACCATGGTCACAATCAACACTGAATGCCCCTTGTAGTTGCTAGTATGACTTGACACGCAGATATAAACAGACAGGCCTAAATCTAACTGCTAGCAAAACTAAAATAGGTCAATTGAACCTGCTAAGACAACACTTAATGTTGTCCCACTGATTCCGTGGACTTATTCTAGAGCTGAGTTTGGCGCTGATTATTGGACTTAGTCCATAAAATCCCATTATAATATCTCACATGCCACATCTCATTTAGCTGTGGGGCAGTGGTATCAAGGACTATATAGGACCTGTGAAATTCATCTGAATTAGCATGTGAGTTGAGGTCCCCTTCTTGGGAGAAAGGGGGCCTATAAATAAAACAAATAAAACAAAAGTGTTTTATTGGCTCTTATGAAGCAAAGCATAAGCAGAAATACAAAACTGATACGCCAGAAACTGTTTTATTTCCTGAACATTTCTTCATTATGATATAGTAAGAAGGTCCCAATAATGTAGCAGTAGCAATTTTATTTATTCATTCATTTAAAATATTTACACTGCTTTTCTCCTTAAAAGGGCCTAAGGCAATAGTTCTACTAAGGGGGTAGAAATGTGGGGTGGGGAGAAGATGACTTTGGAAAGGAATTGGATCAAAATACTAGGACGCAGGACTTCCTAGTATTAATAAGGACTACTCCCGTTTACTCACTTGGTGGGGGAAGAGCCTATTCAATCACTTGCCCAACTGAAATGCAAAAGGCCTGGAGTCCTGCTATCCTTAAAATAAACAGAGCTACTCGGCTGGAAAATGAAACCACATGGCTATGGCCTCATTGTACCTTTTTCGTAGGAAGATGAATGCAGACCTTGGGAAAGTTACAGTATATCACAGAATTAAGTACAGTACACCCCCTCTCATTTCATAAATATTTTAGTATATCTTTTCATGTGGCAACACTGAAGAAATGACACTTGGCTACAATGTAAAGCAGTGAGTATACAGCTTGCATAACAGTGTAAATGTGCTGTCCCTTCAAAATAATGCAACACACAGCCATTAATGTCTAAACCGTTGGCATATTTATGAAATGTGAGAGGGTGTACTCAATTCTGTGATATACCGTATCTTTTTGGACTGCAGCTACCCCAAATCACGAGAAATTCTTATGATTTTTGCCTGAAAACAATAAATTTTCCAAGTTCTGCAGACTGAAACGGCAATCTTTTATGTAATAAGCCCCAGAAATAAGCCCCACTTAGTTCAGTGCGCCTTTCTACTACGTAATTGGGTACAAGAGTGCACCCTTGATTTGGTATTTTGGACTACAGATCCCAGAATTCCCTCAGAACTCCCCAGGCAGAACATTCTGGGAGCTCCCAAACACATACTTCCAGACATCATTGTTCCACAAGGGTGCAACATGGACAAGGGTAAAACCTCATTCTAGTCTTCTTCTAGGCCTTCATTTCCTACTGAAATGCTTTCTGGGAACTGTAGTTTTATATTCTATATAGTGCAGTGGTGTCGAACTGTGGCCCTTGCATCTCCTGAATAACCATCGTTCCCCCCACCCCCCGAAAGCGCTGCAGCAGGAAATGAAGGCTTAGGAGGAGGCCTCAGCTTTTCTCCATGTGAATAAAATGAAGATGCTTGCGGGTTGCAATCCAGAATTCTGCCTGGGAAATTCTTAGAGAATTTTGGGATTTGATGACACACAAAAATAAACGACACAGCCTTAGAATCAAATATCACAATGGTAGTGTGGTGGAAGGAAGCAACAGTAGAAAGGGAGGGAAACTGGAACTTTGTGATAACATTCATAAGACAAGGAAATTATTTTTGTGCTACTGAAGCAAAACGAAATTTATACTTTTGAAGTCACCATTTTTAACCTTTCCATTTTAAAATGTTGAAACAGAATAGCATGAAAAGAAAACTCAATGCACATGAAAATGCTACACATATGTAGATTTTAGAGCCCTGTCCCCTTTTTTTTAACCATAAAGCATAAACTATACTACAGATGTAGAGCTCTTTATTCTTTTCCATGGCCAGGTTTCTCAGCAGTACAATTAGAGATTGGATTTCTGACGAACTTGTGAGTTATCACAACAGGTTAGTCTAGCTGACCTTTAAAGGCTGAATGTAAAAGAAATGGCTTCTGTGCAGCTAATCATTTCACATGTGGTGTGGAAGAGTAAGTTGGCCTGGAATTATGGTACCACTTCTGGGCAGAGAAATGGATAACAAGCGGGTCAATATAGAAGCATGGATGCCCAAATAGATAACTGTATCCCTGGACGGACAGTTTATATCCATCTAAGTTGTTGCATAAGATATGCAAGATGTTATAAACAGTGGAATTGATACAGTATATTAACACATTTCATACACTGGATTTGTTACATAAACAAAGAATGCTACCTTTAATTTTTAATAGAATAGATACTTCTTACACTATCACTAAAGGCATCAATGAGCTGTTGAATAAATGCCTTCAGAGTGACTTATTCCCTTGAATTACCAGATGCTATAAATCTTTGGTTCTTGTCCACACAATTAACAAAACAATGGCATAAAACAAAGGCACCATGAGATTATGTATAGGGTTTGGAAATGAGCGGAAAATAGGGTAGATAACATTAAATTTGAAGTTTTGCAAAGTTTTTTTTTAAAAAAAATCTGACTAACACCTATACACACTTTTCATCTAGTTGTGCTTTTCCTTTATGGCCAGGTTGTTTGGCTAAGCTGGGAGGACAAACAAGAATAGAGTCTTTTTGTACTCAGACATCCAGGAGCTTCCTGTTGCACTCAAATATGCTGAAGCATGGCAAAGCGCTCAGAAGTTCGCTTGCTACATGGTGCTAAAAGGCAGGGATAATGGGAACCTAGAGCCTGTACAGGTGTCTCTCTGGCCAGATAATCTGCTTTAAACTCCATGTAATCCTAATGAGGCTGCAGAAAGTGCTTTGTCTTTTAAATCAGATCAGGCTGCTTCTTTGCCCAGACTGCTGTTATGTCAAAAATAGAATCCCCGGGAGATCCAGTCACAGTTCTTCCACATATCATATTGCTTACTCTTAATATCACCTTTTCGTCTACAGCAGCTGTGCGTTACTAACAACAAGCACTCTCTTTAAAACCTAAACATTTAACCAACATTTTGCTATCATAACCAATAATCTCTTCTCTAAATAATATTTTATTGCCATTTAACTCATTGATTTTCTTCTTCTTCCCCAAATAAGTTGAAAAAGAAAGCAAACATAGTTCTGTAATCAAAACACAAAGGAAGTCATAAAGCATTTCCCCCTGATCTGTGTTATTAAGCTAGCTCATTTAACAGAGACAAGCTTACCTTTTACTTCCAATTTGCAATCAACCTCAGCTTCGCCAAGACTGTTGACTGCCCTGCAAGTGTATGTGCCTCCATCATAAGGGCTGGGCTTGCGGATCTCCAGAGTGCAAACACCCTGATTACTAAACATTCTGTAGCGCGGGTCATTTATTATAACTATTTTGTTCTTCATCCATGTTATCTTAGGCTGTGATTTAAAAAAGCATACACAGAGATGGTATGAAATGAAATGCAGTCAAAGCCATCCTAATACAAAGTCAGAGAGCTTTGACATGTCCTAAGCCCTTCCTAGAAAGGCAGAAAATGAAGGACAAAAGGTAGTCACTCCAAGAGTCCTCCCCCCCGCCGCTTGTTTTACTGTACCCTTCAAATTGTAAACCATCATTTAAAGAGGCCCAAAGCATTGTTCCATTTGAACATACTCTTGCACTATTTGGTAGGATTCTTACCAGATGTATAGCTTACCTTGGGATTTCCTCTAACACTGCAGTTCAGAGTTGCATTGTAACCAGCTACAGCATAGGTGTTAGCTAAAGGCTGAGTGAACAATGGTGGTTCATTGAAATCAAAATCCTCATAAACTGGGTTTTTGTAGACTTTGCCTGCAAAACAGAAGTTGAGGAATTGCTAGGGGGGGAAAGGCAGAGTTTCAAATCTATCAGTAACGTTGTTCCCTATAGAGTAGAATAGTAAAGTAAGGACACAGCTCATCTTGAGATTACAGATGGGCAAAGAACCTCTGGTTCAGCACAGTTCGTTTCCTGGGCAAACCGCTGACCTGCGGTTTGGCACCCTGCCCCCTCCAGCAGGCAGCCATTTGGTGATAGCACTCAGAGGAGGTGGGGTGGGGTGCTGCTGCTCAGTGGCCACCACCTGGAGGCGTTCTTGCCCATCTCTGCTTGAGATGTTTATTGCATGTCCCTTCATTATGTTCATATGTTATTACTTTAAAATCGAGTCTTACTTCACTTCTTGATAAAACTGGGAGATCACTCTTATTTTAGAGCAAAATTCCTAGTTCACTTTTCAAATAATCATTTGTTATTCTATAAACATCTTTTGCAATCTAGTGCTGTCTGTATGCTCCTGACTTCAATTTCCATCAACCCTAGGGATCATGGCCAATGATAATCCTGTGAGCCGTAGCCCAAAATATCTATAGAGCAGCAAGACGCATATTAACATTTTGTTCTGGAATATAAAATTTATAGGGAACATAACCAGCGCCCATAGTTTCATTGCCTAATTTGATATTCTGTTGGGCTAATATTTGCTCTTTTTCTTCATCTTGATGGGTTCACATTTTGAATCCTTGTTTTGCTACATGTAGAATACCTTTAATGGACAAGATAGGGCATATTGGCTGTATATAAAGCAAGGGCAGCTTATTGAATTGTGCGCTAAAGGAAGCATCTACTACTATCCAGGTTCCCAGAATGCCTACATGCAACAAGAATCTCCCATGTGCATAAGGCATGGATTAAACCTTCTATATCTTCTCAAAATAGAATGCTAAGTAGTTTAGAAGCTTTAAACTACAAGATTTGTTTGGCATAATATCTACTGATGGGAAGTAGTCTAGACACTCATCTCACTATTCTTCTAAGATTTTTTTTAAAAAGAGAAAATCATACGTTTTTACTTTTTATTCTTTGTAATGCATGTATGAATTTGAAATTGGAAAGCTGCATTGTACTATTCAGAGAAGTGCAAATGCTAAATGCAAACTCTCCTTCAATCATATATTGGTTCAGAAATGTGAATTAGATAAGTTCACAATTAAAATACAAACCAAATACATTTCTGTTGCATCTTTCAGACATATTACCCCAAAACAAACAATATAAATTGTCCCAATTTATTTTATCTTTCTTCCTTTGTCAAGTATCAGAGTTTTAGAGTTAAGATAAGCTTACCATCTTTGGCAATCACAGCACTTTCAGTTGTTCTTGTTGCATCTTCGCTGAGGCCACACATGTTTTCAGAAAAGACCCGGAAGTAATACTCATTCCCAATGACAAGTTCAGTAATGGTAGCACTGGTTCGGTGATAGTGTTCAATAACAGTGAACCATTCCTGCAAAATACAAGCCAACATTCAGTTGCTCTAACAGCTCCATCAAATGATGGTCTCTACTTAGAAGAAAGGCCCACTGAGTTTAATTGGGCTTATAACTGGGAAAGTATGCAAGAGAACTATAAGAGTGCAATCTGCCACCCAAACAATTGACTTTTTATGGAATATCTGCCATGTGAAAATAACCAAGAGATCATATATTAAGATACGTAAGAGAATTTATTGCTAATGTCAGCCTTAGCCATATGTAACAGTAATGTCAATAAAGCATGACTTTTTTTAAAGTAAATAAGTATGCTGCTCTTCAATAAAAATATGTTAAGAGGCTTAAATAAATAAAAGAAAGATAACATTAGAACAATAAATTATATTAGCAATGAAAAGCTTGCAACAGTTACAAAACTGAGAGACTGTAAAGTCTTCTGTCCTGCGCAGAAAAGACAACAAAATACATGCCATATTTTGAGAGGCAAAATGTTGCCTGAGGAATAAAACAAGATGCTTTCACTTTGGAGCAGAAGCTGGTAAAAGCAGCTGGACTCTGCCTCATCTGCTCCAAAGCCAGGACAATTCTGAGCCTATTTCAGATTGGGGTTTTTTTAAATAGTGAATGTTGCTCTGTATTGGAGAAGTTTTTAATGATCAAATAGTTGAACAAATGCCTAATATCCTAGCAAAAGTTAATTCTTGGCAAAAAAAAATACAAATAATAAAAAAGGAAATATAGTAACTTAGTGTATATCCTTTCACAGCTTTGAGGATTGTTCTTGGGAAAGCATTTTTTTTAAAAAAGTGGGTTTTGAAGAAGATAGGGGTGGGGAGGAGGTGAACGATCCCCTTTCCATTGATTTCTGAATATGTACTGCAAAGAAGAAAGTCACAGACTGTGGAGAAAATTTACAAACCCCTTCCAGTGCATCTAATTCCAAAAAAACACTTGTTCCTAAGCTTCTTAGGACACCACGTTAGAACTGAAATGCTGTCCATGGAAATAAGTTTAAAGGACCAATTTAATCAAATGTGGTAATTCAAGGTTAATTTATGGAGTACAGTGTATAAAGTGTAAAGCACACTCTGAATGCTTGGTCAGTTTGACTGACTGAAAGAGTGTAATTTTTACACTAGTCAATGCAGAGGGGTCGAGGAGGAAAGTGGAAGACAGGTTATTTCTGAAAAACAAATAGATTTCCTAGTCCTATGAACAGAACTGGAGGTCTTGCTGCATACCTACTTCAGTGTGAAAATGATTTTGCACAAGTTTCAGTTCTTGCAGTGAAAATGTCATCACAAAGAAGGGGTCTCTGAACATGTGCTGATTGCTCTTCCTTCCCTGTTGAGTCACTGCAACCGCACCCATTTGGAGTGAACAAATGTTCTTCTAAAACAAGACACTCTGGCTGGCTTCCAAGGAGGAAGTAATGTTACGAAGCAAGTCTTCTTGCTTTGAAAAATGAAACACTTCTAGCCTAGGGCAACCGGAGTAGACCTTTGGTCTGGATGGGTGGGATAGAAATCCAATAAATAAATAAATAAATTAACCCTACCGGTTTCTCATCTGAACAGGGTATCCTTTACTTTAAGAGCTGCAGAGCAGAAAGACGTTATGCTAACCAGGTGATGCTTCTTCCCTCACTGCTTTGTTCTGAGGCAGCCATCCCTGGGTCAACAAACTCCAGATGTGCTAAATTACAAATCCCATAATCCTCAGCCCCAAAGCCCAAGTTGGCTGTAATTATGGGAATTGTAGTCCAAAATATTTGGGGAGCACAAAGTTTGGAAAGGCTAGCTTGAATCATGCCAGCTGGAAGAGCATGACTGTTCATTTTAATGCTTAGGGTTGCCTTATTCCCCAAAAGTTCCCTGGAAAATGAAAACAACAAATCATACAAATCAGGAATGGGGAACCCTTTTACTGTTTGGGGAACCCTTTTACTGTTAAGAGCCTTACTGTCAGGGAGGGTAATAATTTCTTGAGGAACACATGACAACACAATGGTATGTAGAGAGCTGGAGCCAGCAGTGGCTAGAATCAAAAGTGGGCAGAGTTTGATTCTAGGAGTTTGTCACACCGATAACAGAGCTATGAGATCATATTTCAGACTCATAACTAGACACTATCAATCAAAGTTGCCAAAGGTCCTGTCTGTACACTACAGGGCACCAAACTGAGGTTTGCACTGAACTCACGCTCAGGAGGCAACTACCACCAAACCCCAAATCTCAGGATACATATCAACCACATTCCTCTCACCATGTTAGGTGTCTTCTTGAACTGTAATGTGTGAACTGACCTGGAGGACAGTACAATTATTTGCTGTGCTGATGATGTGACAGCTGCTTTGAATTCTTGCTGTTTCTGCCCTAGCACCCCTATCTCTTGGGAAATCTTACTGCTTTAATACTGACTGCCTTGAGTTGTTTTTTCTAGTCTGCACAATCATCAGGGGACCCATATTTAGATGAAAGACATATTTATAAATACCAGAGTTGATCTTGCTGTAGAACGTAATGCTTGTCATCTGTTAAAAACGTTGCTGAGAGAAATTGATTCTCACATCAGACCTCTCAGATTTCTCCTCCTCTGTCTTGCTACACAAATGTGTATCTCATATCCAAATGTGACCCCCCCAATATTATGAATGTAATTTGCTACTTCAGAGTTCAGAGTAAGATTCAAAGGATAATCTGGATTCACATTACATCCATTACCACTATTAAAAAAATAGTAGTAATGGATGTAATGTAACAAATACTGCTACCTTGCAAAAAGTGTGCAGATGAAATTATCTCTGTAATTGGAAATTTCCAGGGACATTGTGAACCTACTAAGAAATAGAAGGGAATATGTAGTGCTCCTACAGATGCAGTGAATTTTTGTAGTTACAAAGACAACATACTGCCAAGGGTGGTCATCTTCATTTGGAACTTGTAAAAGTTGATTTTGGAGGGCAACAGCTGTTAGAATCTCCTGGTGGAGTCTTCGAGTTGCAGTCCAAGAAAGTAACTTTTCCAAGGTCTGAATTCATTCTGAGAGCCTTTGTATTAGTTGAAAAGGCTTTTCAATGAGACATGGCTTTTATTGCAAAAGCATGTGGTTGCAAATAGTAGCAGCATTTCCAGTCAACTGTGCACATGACAACTAGTAGTCCTGCCCACTGATGTTCCACGTCCAAAAATACACTTACCATACTTTTTTTGTCAGCTTTTTGAATGGTATAACCAGTAATGTTCGCATTGCCATCATCCTTTGGTGGCTTCCATTCCAGAGCAACATTCTCTCCCCAGACATCAGCAATGGTTACAGATTGAGGTGGGCCTGGACGATCTGTGGCAAAATATTAGTACTGTTAATATTTCTTTACATTGCATCTTGCTTGGTTTCCATAATTCATGTTGTTCACAGACTTCAGCTTTTCTTGACAGAGAAGTTTATTTTATTTTATTGAAGGTTATGACAAGATTATGTCTTCCTGATAACAAAAGACTTTTAAGATGGCTTCTGCACTCCCTTACACCATCATTGACCTTATTCTCTATTGGTGCATTGCAAAATGGCACTGTGCTGCATTTATTCCTTCCTTCATTTGATTTATTGCAAGACAAGTGCATTTCCTACACCACGAATGGGTAATATTAAAGGATCTAAGGGCCATCTGACATTGTTATTGACCATTGGTATACCTTATTCCTATTCTTAAAAAATGGTTAACATGAATTGTAATGGTATCATGTATTGATGTACAGTATTATGATGTATTAATGTAACGGTATGTTACAGCTGTAGCAATTGAATTTTTTTTAATGAATACTGTGAGCAAAATGTGTTGTGGAAGATGTGGTATATATTGACATAGAATGAGGGATCTTGATCTTGGACAGATAGACTACTACCCCAGTTTAGTGCCCTTCCGATCCAGCACAGGAATACAAGATGCTGTTACAGACTTTGCACAGAAAGAAGTTCAGTAGCAAAATAAGATGGTTTCTGTGCCTCTGTAATTGCGCTCTCCTTCCCCTGAGCCCTTTTGGGCATCAGACACAATAAACCCATCTGGTTTTCCTACTGCTGCTGTTGTTGCTGCTTTCATAAGGTTCACAGCAGGAGGTTCATCTGTAAGAGAAGTAGCCATTCTGGCATGGAAAGCAACTCCGGCATCCATTTAAACCAAGTGGTCTTGGTTTCTAGGGTCTATTGTTGGACTCTAGATCTCATTGAAGTGACTTATGTTGCCAATTTGTATATATAGGTATTGGCCATATCCAAGGTTTCTTCTAAGCTGGGCGTGTCCGTGCGTGCATCTCTGCCTCCCTGTGTGAAGCTGTCTTCCTCCTCTGTGCAGCGATCGCATTAGGTTCCAGTCGTGACAGAACCCTGTGCGCAGGTGGCAGAGTCACACACGCACGGAGGGGTGAATTCACAACAGGGGGCGGAGCACCGCGTAGTGAAACTGAAAGTTGGAGGGTATGTTGGCCATATCATTTGCTCTCATAGCAAACTCAAATGGAGGGCAAAATCAAGGGAGGACAAATCAAGCCAATAAGAGGGCAGAATTAGCATGCTGACGAGAAACCTATATATAAAAGCACATATATAGAGAGATTATATATATAATCTCTATCTCTCCTTCTCTTCATCTATATAAGCTCTATCTCTCCTTCTCTTCATCTGCAAGTTCAACTGTGTGGGTCCTTGAGCACTACCTGGTATCGAAAATGCACTGGATGAGGTCAACAAACTGAACATCTAGATAAGACAGAGATTCTACTGCTGGGAAGATCATCAGACCAGTTATAGGGATATTTACCTAGCCTCAAAGGGGTTGCCATGATTTTACAGTAAGAGAATATATTCTTATGTGTCTCAAATTTGTGGACATACCAACTATTTGAATCTCTATTGAGGCTTTGTCTACCAAGTTGTCTACTTTGACTTTCATATCATATTTCCCAGAATGGATGCGTTCTGCTTTTCGGATGAAGATGATAGTGTCATTTTCACTGTTCCGGATGTTAATTTGGTTCTTGTCTACATGGGCACCATTTTTCTTCCAGGACACTTTAGCTCTTGGTCTTCCCTACATGAGAAGAAAAAGCCATGTCACTCATTATACTGAACCAAAACAGAAGGAAAATAAAAAAGAAAGACAAAGACATAGTATCTTAAAAACTAACTGCTATATTTCGATATGAGCTTTCATGGACATGTCCACTTCATCAGATGTAAGAGACACATTATATTGAGTTACTATTATTATACAGTCAGACACGACTAAACGAAACGAAACGAGTCATTTAGTCATGTCCGACTCTTCATGACCCCATGGACCAGAGCACGCCAGGCCCTCCTGTCTTCCATTGCCTCCCAGAGTTGGGTCAAATTCATGTTAGTAGCTTCGATGATAGTGTCCATCCATCTCATCCTCTATCGTCCCCTTCTCCTCCTGCCTTCACACTTTCCTAACATCAGCGTCTTTTCCAGAGGATCTTCTCATGAGATGGCCAAAGTATTGGAGCCTCAGCTTCAGGACCTGTCCTTCCAGTGAGCACTCATGTTGGCAGCTTTGATGACACTGTCCAACCATCTCATACTCTGACGTCCCCCTCTCCTCTTGCCTTCACACTTTCATCTTCACACTTCTCGTGAGATGGCCAAATTATTGGAGCCTCAGCTTCAGGATCTGTCCAGTGAGCACTCAGGGTTGACTGATATATGATTTTCACCATGGACAAAATTGTTGAGAGCTGGGCCATACCATGGGTGACAGGTAGTGGGAGGTACATTATTAGGTGGAGGAAAGGCCATTATAGGGGAAATACACCCCACATGCTCTCAATCGAGGTAATGTTATTTGTCGACCTTCTGATTTACCCATGTTGCTATTAAATATTATGTCATTCCAAAATAAATCTGAACTAATATTAGATATGATAGATGAAAGGGGGAGTGTAACCTTGCTTGTCCTCCTGAATCTTTTCACTGCCTTTGTTGACCACATTATCCTTTTGGGACAGTGACTGAAATTTGGCACTAGGGGCTCCATTCTTTGGTGGTTCCAGTCCTTCCTTGAAGATTGATCCCAGATGGTAGAGTTTGGGGATGCATTGTCCACCCCTTGAGATCTCAATTACAGGGTTCCCCAGGTATCAGCCATTTCCTCCATGATTTTTTAATATCTATATGAAGCCATTGGGAGAAGTCATACGGCGATGTGGAGCTTGTTGCCATCAATACAAGGATGACACACAACTCTATCTCTCCTTCTCTTCATCTGCAAGGTCAACTGTGTGGGTCCTTGAGCACTACCTGGTATCGAAAAGGCACTGGATGAGGTCAACAAACTGAACATCTAGATAAGACAGAGATTCTACTGTTGGGAAGATCATCAGACCAGTTATAGGGATATTTACCTAGCCTCAAAGGGGTTGCCATGATTTTACAGTAAGAGAATATATTCTTATGTGTCTCAAATTTGTGGACATACCAACTATTTGAATCTCTATTGAGGCTTTGTCTACCAAGTTGTCTACTTTGACTTTCATATCATATTTCCCAGAATGGATGCGTTCTGCTTTTCGGATGAAGATGATAGTGTCATTTTCACTGTTCCGGATGTTAATTTGGTTCTTGTCTACATGGGCACCATTTTTCTTCCAGGACACTTTAGCTCTTGGTCTTCCCTACATGAGAAGAAAAAGCCATGTCACTCATTATACTGAACCAAAACAGAAGGAAAATAAAAAAGAAAGACAAAGACATAGTATCTTAAAAACTAACTGCTATATTTCGATATGAGCTTTCATGGACATGTCCACTTCATCAGATGTAAGAGACACATTATATTGAGTTACTATTATTATACTTCAAGAAGTTGTTTAAATATGAATATAAATATGAGAAGAGAATTGCAGATTGAATTCAACAAGCTGCTTACTGAACTATAACTATAAATGCAACACATTCAGACTTATGATATTAGTTATTTTCAAGCCAGATTGTTTTGAAAACAAGCCCTTATGATTTAAACTGCATTTTAAAGCTTTTTTGATCTCACATTTATTCTGACAGGACAGGAAACATACGTCCAGCATTCCCATTCTTGTGATGCCTCTGAAATGAAATTCGAATATTCTGCATAGTTTCTTCAAAATTTTTGCGATTATGTGCACCATGTTCACTCATCATAATTCCTTTCTCATTCAGGTTTTCAGTAAGAACTGAGGAACATTACAAAGGCCAAAATCCTGTTGCATTGGTATGCCTGTGTACCTGGATGTTGCACAAGCCATTGTGCAGTTCACACCAAGATATACATCATATCTAGCAAGCAGTTCTGAAAGCATGTTGTGCAGCTCATTTCAGTCAGTTGTGCAATCAAGCATAAAGTGCAAGACAGCCTAGGTGTAACTCCCTGGAAACTCCCTGGAAATGTCTGCAGGCATAACTTTACACTAGATAAATGCAATAGGATTTCAGCCAAAATATTATGGAGGAAGCATGTTTACTGCTGTATGCTGGGAACTGTAGTGTAAAAAAGTAACAGTCATTCAGATAATCACTTTTCCAAGCACTGCACAATGAAAGTGTGAACATCTAAATGACCACCAGGGCAGCACAGGACCAGGAGAGGTTCATAAAGCTAAAATGAAAGCATTCATAATTTGTCAACAAAATGGCATGCCTTCAGAAGGCCTTACTCGGTCACCGTCATCAAAATATGAGAGCTTTTAACAGCTTTAGTTTTTTTTTTTCTGGGTACGTTTTTAACATGCCATTTATTATATTTCTTCTCTCTGCCCCCCCCCCGGCAAAGTGTTCATTATGATAGTATAATTAGTGATATTGGTCTTGGGCATTTGGTTACCTGTAGATATTAAATTATACATAGAATCTAGGCATATAGGAAAAGGAAAATTAGACCAAGGAGCAGCTTAATGGCATGATTGGATGCACATATAGAAATTTTAGGTTCAGGGTTATGGCTGATCCAGTTCATAGTGACTTAAACTTATTTAGTCCTGTTCATTTGACTGATAGGCCTGGTCAACGATTTACTATAAACAGACTAGTCATGTACAGTATGTTCTCTCTGAGAGTTCCAGTTCCACAGTTTTCCCCCATGAACGGTTCGATATGTACCACATACATCGATTTGAATCCCGAACAAGTTATAACACAATTCTTTGTAGAACTGGAATATTGTAGTGGTATGTAGACAAGTCCTCATGAAACCCAGTGGATGATCTTGGATCAGTGACCAGCTCTCAACCTGACCTACTTAACTGAATACAATGGGGGCCTCTGCTCTAAACTCCAGGTTCCGGCTCTGTCATTTCTAGGCCTCATTAAAATCAATATAAAGATGTAGTTATGACAAACATATGTTCCACTGATCTCAAGGGTGCCTAAATGTGATTAATTTGATTGTCATACAAACTGTTATCTGAGTAATCCTTACAACAGCATAATAACATATGTGAGTGCTGCCACACTCATACTATTTAACATAGACAGAGTCTGAAAAAATCAAGTAATAGTTGCTGCTTTTTAGAAGACCTTATGGGATGTCCACATGTCTTTTATTTAATTTCTGTTCATTGTTGTATGTTACAGCAGTTGTACAAACAACTGTTAAACTATTAAAATAATTTTTTTTTCCTTACCTGGAAGGGAATAACCAAATTCACAGCTTCTCCAACTCTCCGAACATAGGTTTGCTTTAAGTGCCTTGGCAAGCGGATCTTCGGAGGTTCTTAGGGTTATTTAAAAAAAAGAAATTGTTTTTTATTATATCTAATTAAACAGATCCAATCCCAATTTCATATACTGATTGATAAACTGCCATTGAAAGAAGTTAGGGGGTGGTGAGGCAATTATACAGGTTTAAAATAAACCTTGGTCTGTTAAACTGAGATTGCTACATCTGAATGGGCCCCTTTAAATTTTCTAAAAAGTATTTTCATAGTTGAATTTGAGGAACAATGTTTGAAAAACCTCAAAGATTTGAACTACTCAAATGTGAATTCACTCTAGGTTTTAGTCTATGCCTTGAAGGAATTATCTAAGGTACTGAACCTATTCTGGGGATAGGGTCCAGCATCTTGAAAAGCTCCTGTAAAGCACACACTAGAACCCAAAGTGGATTTACAGCCCCCAAAACTGGAGTCATCAGTTGCCACTGATGCCATCAATTCCAATCTGCATCACTGCTTTGGCTGCCATGTCTGATGTGTGAGGTTGCCCCTTCAAGTCCAATCACTAGGTTGCTAAGTCAAGTATTTCTCCCAAAGCAAATCTTTATTTAAACCAGAGCTATGGAATCTTTGTTGCTCCAGATGTTTTGACCTACTGGTCATAACATCTAGGTCTTATGGGAGTTTAAGTTTAAAACATTTGGAGGGACAACGTGTAAACACAATAATCCACTCAAATCTTATCCACAAGTACACATTTAAAATAAGGAAGTATAGACTGGTATTTAAATAGCTGGAGGGGCTTCCTTGCAGATGCATGCATGCATTAATTAAAGAAGGTTCAGATACAGTAATTTCTGTGCTGCTCAGATGAGTTGCAGGCGAATGACAGTCTCACCTATAACTTCCTTGACTAAAATGGGTTGTGGATGCAACCGAGGTTCACTGGCACCAGCAGCATTCACAGCTTTTACTCGGACAAAGATTTTTGCTCCCGTTGGAAGTCCAGTGATGGTGAATTTGGTTTTGTCTGTAAGATTGTCTGGATTGGCTACAATCCATTCTTCCGCTACAACAGGATAAAAGCAAATAGAGAAAAAGAACATTGGGAATTATATATTTGATATGGAATTATGTTTATTTTTTATTCAAGTGTAGGAAGCTGAATTGATTTCATTTCTTTCAAATATGTTTGCATCTTGATAGTCAAGGTACAAATAGTTGTGGTCACTAGTTCTTACTATAATGCATATTACAAGAACCAAGCATTTCTAAGGATGAGATAGGTTCTCAACTTTAAAGCCTCACTTGTGGATACAGTACTGTTAATTTAAAAGAACACACAGTAAAGTAGATTGACTAGGATTATAATCCTATAGAAGAGTCCATTTCCCACATTACTGAATTGCTCTATTTGCAGTGTAAACTTTATGCATAATTATAAGATTGAGTGCTGCTGCGTGCACATGGAATTTCCAGCACGTAAATGTCCCTCTCAAAAAATATATGCATAAAACGTCTGCCAAACATAGTTCACAAAACAGTATGTATGCTAAATGGATTTATGCAGATTCTTAAGCAAAATAATTTGAATAAATATATTATTTAAACAACTGACAGAACAGAGTTTGCTTTTTTTAAAATATATTAAAAAATTAATTCAGTTCTGTGCATATACAGTACTGTAAAGATATACTACTGGGTACTAAAATCAAGATGGTTTATTTATCACTAGTGGTTTGTTTTTCACTATTAATTTATAGGGCAAAAATCTTCAACCCAACAATACAAGTGGAAACTTATTTATCAGTTGTATGCCATATAAATGTAGCCTGATCTTTTCCTGCTGAAGTACTGTACTCTGAATTTACAAAAATGAATGCAACAAGTGGGAAAGCACCAGTGGGAAAATTCATTAGGATTCAAGCAGCTTTCCACACTGATGTGCAAATGGCAAGCGGACATAGGTGAACATTTCATATTTGGCCATTCTTGTTTCCGGATTGGCCTGTAATAATGCTTCTGTGACCAAAAAGTATAACAGATTATGAGCAGGCTAGTTGACAGAAGGTACTTGAAGATGAATGGATTTCTCACCAGCATAAGTCTTTGGAAGATCACAGCAACATTACATAGAAAGAAGATGAACTGCTTCAGTCTACTTCCAGCAGAGATGAGATGCCTGCTGTTTTACAGTGAGATTTGCCTAAAGTCTCTAGCTGTAAGGATGGGCAACTTCTGGAGAGTGATAGGACATCACACTGGCCTTTCCAGACAGCGCAATCATCCTTCCTGGCAGCCATCATGCTGTCTGATCTGTGGCAGTGGCCATTGTTTTTGAAAGTGATCATGCTACTGCAAGGCTTCCAGAAGTCCGATCTGGCTTAAAAACAAGATCCTCATCCCTTTACCATGTTTTAAAGCCAGATTTTGCCTGCACTACAATAGCAAATCCGGTAGCAAAGGAACTTGAAAAATTTACAGGCAGCTCATGTGGGTCACATGATAATCCCTTGCTCTAACATAGTAGCCCAAAATCCCATTATTAATTTGCGTTTTGCATGATAAAAATTGTATCAATATTGGTGGGAAATTTCCACTCATTAACGAGGTGCTGGTTGAATTCCTAGGCACGTGCCTGATACTGCAATCAAGTGAACACCCTGGAACTCAAACAACATCTTGTTAATGAGAGGCAACATGTTACTATGGCCTATGGTTGTTGCCTTTGATGATGATGATGATAATGGTGGTGGTGGACCTATGGTTGTTGCATTTGATGATGATGATGATAGTGGTTGTGGTGGTGGTGTGCTGTCAAGTCCATTCCAATATATAGCAACTCTTGCCATAAGTCCTGTATTCTAGTAGTGCTTGAGGAGTGTGCAACTTACACAGCCATAAACTCACAACAGGATTTTGGCCAATAAAGAAGAGGAGATATTTAAACTTGAGCGCCAGTGATCTAACTGCACAACACACATACTGTGCGGTAAAAATGCTTTGATGTGGATGCCTGGCCTCACTGATACACACTAGTGTTCTGTACAGTTTGGATTACTATAATCTCTGTGTAACACTGATTTCAGAAATGAGCTTGGGAACATCACATGCTTATGCAGGTGAATGGTCAGAACACATTATAGTAATTCTGTGTTAGTTACCCTGGCTGTATGTTTCTTTTTCAGCTCAGAAGTGCTAATTTGCAATTTTAAAGCCTTCAGTGGTTTAGAACAAGGCCTTTGGTGAGCCTTGTTCTACTGCCCAAACTCTTTAAGATCAGCTTCAGCTTCTTTGGCCCCACTTTCTGGCTCATACATAGATGATACCAGATTTATGTGTATTAGAGGTAGGATTTTGGAAGTGGCTCTGCTTGTGCAGAATATCATCCTAAAAAGACATATTATCTAATCACTGCCATTTGTAAAGACAATTATTGAGGTTTTTTGTGTTTTGCATTTTAATGCATGTCTCTTAATGCATTTTTACTAATCATTTTAACAACAACAAACCCACCCACCCCAAATAAACATACTGAGGCACACTTAAGTGTGAGCTTTTATGTCTTTAATCTACTTTTTCAGATAAAAGTTTGGATATATCCATAAAAATCACACTGAAATAAATGTGTTATCTTCAGGATAACACAATACTTTGTATTTGTTTTGGTTTTGTCATTGCTAAAACAGAAGATAACACATCTATTTCTTCGAAAACTGCTAGGCATTTTAAGGAAAGAGTAGTCAAAATGTGTTGTGCTCCCTGGCCCTTTTTCAGAGACTTGTTTTGTCTGGCAAAAAAAGAAAGAAGAAATAGCAAATTGACATTTCTGGAAACCTCCAAAAGTGGCAATTCATAATATAAACAGATTACCGGCAGGGGGCAGCTGTACAATTAACACCAAAAATACTCATATTTGAAAAAGAGAAGCAACCTCTGTGTGTGTGTGTGTGTGTGTGTGTGTGTGTGTGTGTGTGTGTGTGTGTGTGTGTGTGTGTGTGTGTGTG